GAAAAATCCAACGAAATATATATTTCTAATGGTGATCGACTGGATCATGAAGACGTCAACGTCTGAAGGGAAACGCGGGATACAATGGACATCTAAGATGCAGTTGGATGATCTAGACTTCGCAGACGATCTGGCCCTTCTATCCCAAACGCAACAACAAATGCAGGAGAAAACGACCAGCGTAGCAGCAGCAGTAGGTCTCAATATACACAAAGGGAAAAGCAAGATTCTCCAATACAACACAACATGCACCATTCCAATCACAATTGACGGAGAAGATTTGGAAGATGTAACATCCTTTACATATTTGGGCAGCATCATTGATGAACAGAGTGGATCTGATGCAGATGTGAAGGCGCGGATCGGCAAAGCAAGAGCAGCATATTTACAACTGAAGAACATCTGGAACTCAAAACAACTCTCTGTCAACCAACACCAAGTTCAGGATTTTCAATACAAATGTCAAGACAGTTCTACTGTATGGGGCAGAAACCTGGAGAACTACAAAAGCCATCATCCAGAAGACACAAGTGTTTATTAACAATTGTCTACGCAAAATACTTCAGATCCATTTGCCGGACACTACTAGCAACAACGTACTGTGGGAGAGAACAAACCAGATCCCAGCGGAGGAAGAAATCAGGAAGAAGCGCTGGAAGTGGATAGGACACACATTGAGGAATATACCCAACTGCGTTACAAGACAAGCCCTCACATGGAATCCTCAAGACCAAATGAGGCGAAGAGGAAGACCAAAGAACACATTACGCCGAGAAATGGAGATAGACATGAGAAAAATGAACAAGAATTGGATGGAACTAGAAAAGAAGGCCCAGGACAGAGTGGGTTGTAGAATGCTAGTCAGCGGCCTATGCTCCATTGGGAGTAACAGGCGTAAGTAAGTAAGTAAGTAATGGTTGAGATCATGTGTCAAGTGAATTTAGATCACCATGGAAAACCTGGCAGCAGTGGACGGCTGTTTTGTCCTATTGTAGGACTTCTCAGCAGTGCACATCCAAAATCACGCCTCGCGAGATTCAAACACAGGATCTATCAGTCTCGCACGAGGACTAAACCACTAGACCAGTGAGTAGACATCCAATGGTGTTCATGTCTAATTTCAATTTATCCATGAATGGCTTTGCAACTATTCATTCATTGTCTGGGGTAGATACCTATCTCTACCTGATATGATTTCGACTCCACTGGTCACAGCTTTTTACTAGAACTCCAGGAAATCATCTTGGTGCTAGGTTTTCCATGATGGTCTAGCTTACATCGACTCATAAATCCAACTATTAAAATTACTATAATCTTCACAAATCTCATTCTGATCATAATTAATGAGTTATTTGTTAATTTTATAATGTACTAGTATCCCTTTATTCACGAGTGAACATTAGGATGTACTGTAGAGTGATACTTCTTAGTTATCAAGCTTGATTAATGATTAATTGTAGATATGATATCAGTTTAGATGGTGTTCACAGTGTGTTCTTTTTTGTTTTTAGTAAATAAAGTTGTAATCGGCAGTTTTCTTGCTGATTTTGATATTATAAGCCAGTAACAATCGATTTGTTGCGTAGATATGAATTAATCTAAGTTAGATAAACAATAAGAACCTGAGCATTGGATGATCGTTACGTCCCAGTATAGGATTTCTTAGAATTGCACACCTGCAACACCGCCACTGGGGATTGAACCCATGAGTTTTAGTTTCACACATGAACGCTGAATCTTAAGACCACTGAGCTGTGATCCAATCGTATGTAACTCCAATTTTAACATAATTGTTCAGATATAATAAGGAATTATATTGCGAACAGTATGATCAAATATTCACTTCCTAAGTTGTTTACACTGAAGAATTAAAAAAATGTCTTGATAGATAAATAGGTATATGAGAATAGGTGAGATAGAAAGATAATTGATCCAACTATCCATCCTGGTAATGTGTAGTTTCGATTTGATAGTCAGATCATCTTGGTACAATTAAATTTTCTGTCCATCCAAATATTTCCTGTTGAATACTTCCAAATAGGATTTGAACTTGTGTTTCAAGGATAATACATCTATACAGTTAGGTACAATACAAGTAATAAAATAGTGTTTGACGTTTTTTGGAATTACGATGAAGTTAGCCTCATAAATTGTATTAATGATAGCTGACTAAGATCATCGAATCGTAGTAATAATATTCATTTCACCTCTGAATGTCAGTTAAATATGAATGTGATTAGTGATAAAAGAATAACATGAATAACCATACTAACAGCCTTTTAATAATTAATTACTTCTATGTGTCGTTCATCCTTAACTTATGTTGACTAATCACTGTGCAGCGACCAATATCATATTATTATAGTCCTTAGTGCTGATCAAATTCTGTCGAACTATTCAGAATGTGGCCTTCGATCAAGTAACCCAACATAGTATTTCCTATATTTTGATATAACCTGGGTTTCATACGAGTTTGTACTTATTAAGTTAAACGTACTTTAAATGATACCCTCCTTGAATTATTAACCCATTTTATCGTTCACCTATCCTTGGAACATCAAAAGTTTTGTATACTAATGTTATAATCGGAGAGGGTTTTTGTGGATATTATAGTAATTTAATAGTTGAATTCATGAGTCAATTAACGCTGGATTACCATGGAAAATATAGAACTACTGAACGGCGGTTTCATTCTAGTATGGGACTATCCGGCAGTGCTCATCCACGATCCCGCCTCGCGAGATTCAAACCACCGAAGATAATGATGGACAGTGATACAATTTCGTAGATTGGTTTAAGTTAGACATTAATACCGTTGGATGCTGGCCGGATCAGTGGTCTAGAGATCAAGCGTTCATGTGCAAGACCGATAGATCATAGGTTCAGATCTCACAAGGCGGGGCCGTGGATGGGCACTGCTAAGGAGTTTCATGCTAGGACGAAACGCCCTTCAGTGCATCCAGGTTTTCCATGATGGTTTAGCTTCAACTGACTCATAAATTGAATTATTAAAATACTAATATTACCCCAAAAGATAGAATTATATTTAATGATAATCAGTTAGATGTAAATTGTACTGTAGTACAAAAGTACACTCATGTAATCTGTATGTTATACCACTTAGTAATAACATACAGTTATGAAATTTCTTACTTTATTTCAACTAATCATATGTGTATTCAAAAGGGTCATTGATAATTTTTGTGTATGTGTATGTGTGTGTGTGCTTATTTCTGAAGATTTTATCACCTCAAATGATTTAAAGCCTCTACATTGTCTTAATTAACCAAAAGAAAAAGATGAAAAAGGAAAAGAAAAAAAGAAAAGAAAAGAAAGGAAACAGTAAGACGTTTTACCATCTATGTACACGTACACACACACATACACTCACTCACTCACTGACGCACGCACGCACGCACGCACATATAAATTTATTCAGCCTATTTCATGCAAAAATAAATAAGCCTATTTTTATTTATATAAATAAAAAAAGGAATGTGTAGCCTCTTTTTCTTTTTTTTATTATTTTCTCTACGTTTTTTTCTTTTTGTAACACTATTCACCTGTAAAGATTTTTGTTTTCTTTTTTTTCTTTTTTCTTTTTTATTTTACACTTTCACCTACTGTGATTACACCTTATATGAATATGAACTACATACCATTGGAATAACAAATTTATGCCGCTATATGATAATATAAAACAAAACAAAATGATAGATAACTCTCTCTCACTATCTCTATCTCTTTCTTCATAGATGTATGTACTTAAAAGGAAACAAACGAGCAACAAATACTTTATCATTATGATTATGATTATCAGTAGTAGTGGTGGTAATAGTAGTAGTAGTTACAAACACTTTCATCTATATGGAATATTCTTTTTACTGTTTTTCTCGTTGAAATATATTTCTTTTCTCTATCGTATTCTTTTCTTAATTTGTATATTTGTTATTAGAATCATCTAGAATTGTTTATCTATTTTCTATATATACATATAGATATATATATATATATTGACTAGTAGAACGTATCTTATCCATGTAAATAGATAGGCCAATTTTGACCCTTTCAGATGAATTGATGCCATGACTATATAGTTCGACTTGTCTATATATCTATGTATATATATATGTATACTGACGTAAATAGATAGATGAATACAAAGTGAATTCTTGTTTAATTCATTCATCATTTCTAGTTGATGATGATGTTAGAGCTATAAGGTCAAAACGTTGACTGGTATGTGATCATTACCAATGTATAGTTCTATTTATATAATGATTTATATTCTTGAGAGAAATGTTTGGTATCTATTTGTCAGATAGTTTTACAATAACATATAGATTGATTTAATGTTAACACTTTGAGAATGAGATCGAGAAGAGCTCTTGTGATTCAATGTTCATGTAGATTATTAACTTGAAAGGTAGTAACTAGGTGATCTACTTGACTATCTCAGCTATCTATTCTTATCATATAGATATTTCAACAAGTTCTCTGTTTTCTTGTTTGTTCTAATACATCATTATATCTATTAGTCTTATAACCTATTCAGTTGAGTTCATGAATAGTTCACAACTTTTCGTTGTACAACTTATAGAACAGCTTAATCAGAGACATAATGGTTACTGGTAATGTGCGTCGAAAATCAATATACACTGTTTCAATGTCGATTTACTGGACTGCTAACTTCTAGCTGGCGATCACTCAATATTTATCGCAAGGATCGATCAAGAAATGAGAAAAGGGAACTTGTTGAAATACCTAGCGTCTTTTTCTAGCGAGTTAGTTTTCTACAGGATGAGGTCGTTACTATACTATACCCAACCGTCTTCCTTTACCCAGGATTTAGACCGGCAGTAACTCTAGAACAGATACATGTGGAGTTTTATAAATTGAAAGGTGATTATAAGCTATTACTTTGAACCAATGTCATATCTTCACAAGTTTGTAGAAAGGTGTATGAGTCACATTATATTTCTTGTTTTCCTTTTTATTAGCGGACAATTCAAAAAAATGCACAATATGTATGTCTTCAAGCTAAAAATTGTGTAGTCGATAAACGTCGACGTAATCGTTGCCAATATTGTCGATTTCAAAAGTGTTTAAAAGTTGGAATGGTTAAAGAAGGTTAGTTTAATTAAATTTAATGGATATTGATTATGAAATTTGTAAGCACAATGTGTGATTATTACCATTTATCTTTTGATTTCATGGCAATTATATCACTAATGGATTGAAAATTGAGTTGTGCTCATTAATGTAAGTGTAGTTTAGCATACAAATTTGTTGATTACAAAGAAGCAATATGTTACATAATCCCATTTTGATCAGTATTCACTTTCTTTACTAAACACTTAAGATTACTAAATATCATCGGTCAGTTAAATATGCTTAATATTCCGCAATTCATAATCACTAACTTACTTACGCTTGTTACTCCCAATGGAGCATAGGCCACTGAACAGCATTCTACAACACACTCTCTCCCACTCTGCCTTCATTCCTACTTCTATCCAATTGTTGTTCGTTCTTCTCATATCTGTCTCTATTTCTCGATGTAATGTGTTCTTTCATCTTCCACTTCTCTTCCTTTCACATTGAGGATTGCAAGTGAGGGTTTGCATTTTGACGTAGTCAGTTGCTTTCCTCAATGTGTGTCCTATCCACTTCCATCACTTCTCCCTGATTTCTTCCATCGCTCGAATCTGCTTTCTCTTTTATCACAGTAGGTTGTTGCTCATGGTGTCCGACCAATGAATCCGAAGTATTTTATGCAGACGATTGTTAAGAAACACTTGTTTCTTCCGGATGATGACTTTCGTATTTCTCCAAGTTTCCACTTCATACAGCAGAACTGTCTTGACAGTTGTATTGAAAATTCTGACTTTGGTGTTGGATTGCGGACATTTATTTTGAGTTCAAGATGTTGTTGAATTTTAGGTATGCTAGTCTTGCTTTGCCAATCCGCGGCTTCATATCTGCATCAGATCTACCGTGCTCATCAATAATGCTGCTCAGATATGTAAAGCATTTTACATCCTCCAAAGCTTCTCCCTCAAATGTGGTTTGATTGATGGGTGTTGTGTTGTATCGGAAAATCTTGCTTTTCCTTTTGTGTATGTTGAGACCTACTGCTGTTGAGGCTGCTACTACACTGGTTGTCTTCTCTTGAATTTGTTGATGTGCGTGCGATAGAAGATGCAAACCATCTGTGGAGTCGAGATCGTACAGTTGCATTCTAGCTGTTCACTATATCCCATGCTTCCCCCCAGATGGTGACATCTTCATGATGCAGTCGATGAAAAAGAGAAACTGAAAGGTTAAGGGTAAGCAACCTTGCCTGACATCGGTCTTTATTTCCAACGAGTCTGTCTGCTGTTCTCCATGTATTTTGATCCACCATAGGAATTCCGTACGATTTTGACTATCTTCTCACGCACGTCGTAGTGTCGAGGAAGCCTACATAATGCGGTCTTGTTCATGCTGTCAAATGCTTTCTAGTACTCAACGAAGTTGATGTAAAGTGGTGAATTTCATTCAATTTATTGTTCCACAATGATCCGTAATGTTGCGATTTGGTTGGTACATGATCAATCCTTACGGAATCCAGCCTGTTGGTCTCGAAGTTAGGCACCTACGGAGTCTTCCATTTTGTTTAACAAAACCCTGTTGAAGACTTTTCATAATAATTTCCACTTTTTTTTCAAACTTTTCAACAATATCTAATGGAATCATTTATGTATCATAATTTACTTATCAATATCCTAATTTATAGATATAAACCATATAAACGAACTTAAATTGAGACTTGCTAGATCGATTTTTAGATATAATTGAGAACTTTCAGTTCATACTGAATAACGTGAAGTTATCTCACTGGTTACAAGATTGAAAGTTTCAAAGTACAATATGATGGGCTTTTTTTGATGGAATATTCTAATAGAGTACTAAAACAGATATCTATTAATATGAGAAGGGATTTTTTGGATATTACTTTAATGTTAATAGTTGAGATCATGAGTTAATTAAAGCTAGACCATCATGGAAAACCTAGAAATAGTGGACAGCCGTTCCGTTCTATTGTGGGATTTCTCAACAGTACACATTCATGATCCCACCTCATGAGATTCGAACTCAGGACATACCTGTCCCACGCTCGAGCGCCTAACCATTAGACCATTGATCCGGCTGACATTCGACGGTGTTGATGTCCAACTTCAACTAATCCACGATATTCACTAACAACTCTTATATCTATTATTTCACTGGTTTCAAATAATTCTCTATGGTATGTATCAGTTTATAATGAATAATTTGTTTATTTATTTATTTGGACACATAAATACTGGTACAAAGAGGCACCAGATACATATGCGCCACACAAATCTCATCTGATTTGTGTGAGGGCAGTGATACTGCCCGGGTGCCCAGACAGAAAGAGGTGGTTTTATTAGGGGGCCACAGCCGGAGCTTTTGACCGAAAGGTCTGATTCACAAGGCAGTGCAGCATGGTAAGGAGATACCGTCCGATGGCAGCCAGTGACCAATGATTGGTTCATACTCCATTTATTCCCGCAGGATACTGGAGCCAATGTGCATCATTGGTTTGAGATCAGGGTTTTCCAACTCTTCTAGATGAACTCTCCGTGTTCGTCAATACTGTTAAAGCTCTTGACATTCGTTTTTCATCTTCCCAATTTCATGAACAACACCCGTGGTGCAAGAAGACAGTGAGTAGAACTTCCCTGGCAGAGGTTATATACGCGTGGCCATTTGAGAGAATTTGAAGAGGGAGAGCTGACTCTCTCCCCAATCTCCGCCGTACCAGAGCATTTGAGAGCTTTTATAGTAAACTATATATCGTCGTTTCAATGAAATATAAACTGTAATATTTATGTCACTTTTTTAGTAACAAAAAGAAAATTTAATTATGTTAATTAAGAATAATAATAAATTCTGTTAAAACAAAACTTCAATTTTCTATATTTTATCCAAGAGAAAAAGAAAGACAAAACGACAAAAAGAAAAAGAAAAAAGAGGAAACTTTGTAATAACCTAAATCCTCTTTATAGACGAGTCCATTTTTAAGGTTTCAATTTACCATAGTTTATTAAAACGAGTGCTAATTTTGACTTTTATGAATAAGCACAAAATCACACCCACCCACCCACCCACACATACACACACACAAACGCACACATACAAATACACACACACACTAAAGTACTGGTACATTACTAGCATAACAATATAGTCAAATGACTAGTCCTACATAATATGAACATACATGTAGAAGAAGATTAAGAAAAAGAAAATACATAGTTACTTTAAAAGTAAAATTGTATTCAGTTTTCTTTATAGAAATAAGAAAATGAATCAAATTTTTTAAGTAACACAAATAGGTATACATGATAAAAGAATAAATTCTGACGTTTCTCTTTTTTCTTTTTCTTTTTTCTTTTTTCCTCTCAACATTTTCCACTTTTTTTTCTTTTTTTCTTCTTTTTTTCTTTTCATATATATATGATACTGTTTTGTTTTGTGTGTGTGTGTGTGTATGTGTGCTTCTTTTTCAATTTACAAACTAACTAACCTATTCAATCATTATCTTTAGTTACTATGTCTTTCACTTAACTAATATTAATATCCATTTGGTTTTCTGCTTACAAATAAGAAGTATCTATGTTTAAGATGATGACGATGACGATGATGATGATGATGATGATGACGATGTTCTTAATGGTTACGATGATGATGGTGCTGCTGATGATGATGATGATGGTGATTGCATACCAGACTGAAAGTGATTTATTTTCTTCATATATTTTTCTTTCGCCTACATTTGTATGAATTATTTATCATGAATGGTAAAAGGAAGATACGATTGAATAATGAAAGAAGGAAATTCACCTTCATCTATCTATTTATCTCTACTTTATCTTGTAATTTTACAAATATAAATAAATGGGATAATTTTTTTTCTGTTTTTTTCTTTTTTTTTGTTTTTTCTCCTTTTTTTCTACTTCATTGAAATCAAAGCAACACGGTAAGCGAAAATAAAATAAGTGGAGAATGTCTGTAACAGAAAATAAATGGAACTTAAAAGGGAAATATAATACAGACTAATCTAAAAGAAGCTTACCATGTAAATGTATTCGTATGTATATATATGTGTGTGTATGTGTGTGTCTGTGTTAGATTCGAGAAATCTTTCTATACTGTTTTGTATCATGATGATGTTGTGTTCCGACAATGACATAATCATATAATTTATTTAGTAGTACAAGATAAGCAAGTCTCTTGTTGTTGTTGTTGTTGTTGTTTAAATGGAAAACAATCATGTCGTATTTTCAATGTGGTTAGTGATACTTTCATTTCTTGTTGTTGTTGTTGTCATAGTTACAACTTTATAAAAATTTCACATAACTGAAACATTTTTAGGAAATAAAGAGAGAAAAAAATGTTATTACAGTTGCTAAGATGAGTAATTTTAAATTATTTTATTGATTTTGAGATGGTAGAGAAGTTTGTGCTGATGATATCGTTTAGAAGAACGATGAAAGCTCTACGACCAAACCATCCAGTTCAGAGAACAAAACTCCACCAAAATATTTTATTGATTATTATTTGTTTGATATAGTAGATGAGAGGGGAGGGATGAGACTATAATTTCTGAATGAACTTTGAGTGAATATAAAATGATCTTAAGAATGTTCACTTACTTACTAGAGTTAAATGACGGTTATAAACTTGTGTGAACAATCAAGATTATGATTTACAGTTGATAGTTAAGATTAAGAATTAGATTTAAGGTTTTCATCATGAACTGATATCAGTTAAAATGCCAAAATGATATTCAGCCAAATGGATGAATGAATTTCATGCCTAAATTCTAAATCTGATTGGTTTGTCTATAAGTTATCGTCTCGTTGAGGAATAGAAGTATCTTAACATGGGCGAATAATAATTACATATCTTTATAAGCATGGATGGATAGTGGCTAGCAGTGGAATCCAGGAAGCGCGTATCGTCCTGTTCGGGACTCGTCAGCTGGATGTACCTGCATCTCAGAGTTGATATTCACTCTGGGACTCGAACCCAGTACCGCTCGCTTCAAATGCCATCGCCTTATCCACTTACCCACTGAGTCCTGATAGCCACTTGCTTGTCCAATGAGAAGATTCAAGTAAAACAACATCAAGTGAATTATATATCTTTACTTTGAAAACGTACAGTTACTTTCAATCGTACATAATCCTTATCTTTACAATATTGTCAAATGAGATTATTATAAGCCTGTTGTTCTAGCAAAAGCGTTGTGTTTGCTTGTGGTAAAGTGACAAATTCTTTTTGGTTATTGGCATGATTACAAAAGTTCGATGAAAATCTGACATTTATGTTGTCTTTGTTAAACCATGTTGGCATATACTCATATATGAGTTGAAACTTGTTACTGTTGTAATTGGTGGGTTGCAGATTATGGAAGGAGCAGCGTTTTATCGATCGATTGCGGTAACACGTAAACACGTGATGAACGGCCTAGAGTCCTCATTGGTCCCGCTTCCCTGTCTAGCCCAGCCAGTTAAGTCCAGAACACAAGTCACAGCCTCTGAGATATGAATCGTTATATTTCAAACATACTCTGTTTATATACCAACCAAACAGACCACATCGTAACATAAAAATAGAAAACAACATCTGTACAATATTTAACGAGTGAAATAAATAATGGCCAATAGGGAATGTCCATTTAAAGTCCAAGGACATCATTAGACTTAACATGATAATGATTGGCACATTATTCCTCAGCATCCCTAACAGTTACTCAATAGATGTGTCTAACTCGAAAGGAGTGACACTTATAGACTGTTTTACTATTGCCTAAGGAAAACGTCTCTAACGTTTTGTTTTCCAAAGATTACTCCAAGGGGTGTAACAAATTGATCACACAATATGAACTTATTCTTATTAATTAGGTTCTTCGTAATTATTTTATTATTATTCTTATTATTATATGCAAGATTTATGTTCTCCATATATGAAGAAATTCGACCACTTCACTTTTACCTGAAGTTTGTACTGATGATGTCGTTCAGAAGAACGATGAAAGCTCCACGACCATACCATTCAACTCAGAGAATAAAACTCCATAAATAGCATCCATTTAAACTACAAATCTTCTTCACCATCCCTATGGACATATGCCAATAACAGACTGATCAATCACAGTCCTAATTAACAATGGGAAGATGCAAACAAACAATAAAAAGTGAACAATATAAATAATTCACAACGAATGGAATTTAACTGATAGCTTTTTCTAATCGGAATATGGTTGTCAGGATGAACAACTTAGAAACATTTGTTTGTATAACATTGCATCAATACTAGCTGTTCTCAATCAAAATTTCCATGAAGTTCACTAATATACAGTCCGAGAATTTCCTAAATCCTAGTCAATGGTGAATACATGATTATTGTTGAAATAATTAAAGTTCCTAGATTTAATCCCAGAACGATTCCAGTCGTGGATTGTTAAGGAAACTTAGTGAATCACTAAATAGTTTACAATTCTTCTAAATTATTCGTGATTTTTTTATTTAAACTGATCACTGATGATAATTTCTTTTAGTTCACTCAGAAATTTTCATTACTTACTTACTTGCTTACGCCTGTTACTCCCAATTGAGCATGGGCCACCGAACAGCATTCTACAACACACTCTGTCTCACTCTGCCTTCATTCCTACGTCTATCCAATTGTTGTTCGTTCTTCTCATATTCGTCTCTATTTCTCGATGTAATGTATTCTTTGGTCTTCCACTTCTCCTCCTTTCACATTGAGGATTGCAAGTGAGGGTTTGCATTTTGACGTAGTTAGTTGCTTTCCTCAATGTGTGTCCTATCCACTTCCATCACTTCTTTCTGATTTCTTCCACCACCATAAGCTGCTTTCTTTCCTCTCACAGTAGGTTGTGGCTGATAGTGTCTGACCAATGTATCTGAAGTATTTTGTGTAGAAAACTGTTAATAGACACTTGTAAGAAATCGACATAATATTTTTATTAAAAATGTCCCACTATAAAAATTCACTTTAATTATTTGTTTTTCTTCATTTCATTAGTCGTTCGTCGGGATAGTCTTAAAGGTCGTCGAGGTCGTTTATCATCTAAAGCACGTTGTCAATTAAATGAACATGGTGGATTAGCCAATTGTTATAATGATGGTAATATTAATAAAAATCTATTACCTTTACATAGTTTTCTTCATAAACGTAATAGTATATCACCAAATTTTTCATCTATTCATGGTAAACGTTACTCAGGTTCTAATATACAATTAAATCATACAAATAGAACAAATTCCAATACTGTAAATTCAACTGTTACACTTTTATCAATGTTGAGTAGAGCATATGAAATGGTTGGACCAAGAAGTCATTCTATCATGAATAATAATGAGAATAATTTGATTCAAAGTAATGAATGCTCAAAAAAACATGACATATTAAATGGCGAGGTTGGAGATTCTTTACAAGCTTCACCTGATGATACCGAAGTAAGTAAATATAAAAAAAACACAACCATTTTCTTCTTTGTTTCTTGGCGATTTTCACTAGAACATATAAAGAATGCTATTGAATTTGATCTTTGGTTAAGTTGAAAATGTTTCTCGTTTTTTAAGATGTTGATCATGAATTTTCTACGTGGATCTATGTGAGATCATGGACCGATTGATGATAGACCACCATTGAAAACATGGAAGCACTGGACGGTCGTTTCGTCCTATTGTTGAATTCCACAGCAATACACAAAGCTATTCATTAGTGAGCGTATGATAATTATCAGTATGGGGTTATGGAGACTACGTGGGTAAATTCTCGGAGTTCTTGTGAGAATCCGTGACCAATGGAGCTAATCATTGTTGGGTAAAGATAGGTATCTACTTCAGTACAATGGAAGATGGTCGTGCATTTTCGTGGATTGGTTGGTGTTAGACATTAACACCGTTGGATACTGGCTCAGTGGTCTAGAGGTTAACCGTTCACGCATGGGACCGAATATTCCTGGGTTCGAACCCCGCGATCGTGATCTTGGATGCGCACTGCTGAGGAGTCTCATAATAGGATGAAACAGCCATCCAGTGCTTCCACGTTTTCAATGGTGGTCTAACGTCAATCGATTCTTAATGATCTCGATCAAAAACTTAATAATTTCCACAACTTCATACTGATAAAATTTTTTAGTTGTCACAAGAGGCAGTTTTACATATAATGATACGAGATGAGCTCTTTATCTCCATAAGGTGTATAGAAAAGTTAGCTGAATTACATTGTTAGTAAAATTACAGAGCTGTACTGTGCGATAGGGCCGATATTTGAACCATCAGGATCGAACTGAGCAAACGGTGGTCGTTTATAGATTCGATATCTTGTCAATCTTCTTTAGAAGGGTACATCTATTGTGATTAGTATTAATGACCACTGCAAAAAGTGTAATGTTTTATCAAAATGGACAAATAAAGTTGGGTCTGCTCTAATCCATTAGTGTGCAGTATGTATTTGTTGACCGAATTCATTTTTGAATAGACTAAACTATACCATGCTACAACACATCATCTGATTAAACTATAGCCTCAAAATAGTCAGGATCTTCTGTGCTATTAAAGTACTCGTAAAATGATTCCTTAGTCCAGTAAATCTATTATGGAACAACCAGGTTAATACTAATAAACATAACAATGATGTATAGTCTATGTCATTATCTTAATCAAACTGATATCCCGAAATTTAACCAATGGATTTTTAGTACAGGATCTAATACTATCAATACTCACAATTGATTGATCACTTGGTGGTGATCAATCTCATGCTTGTCTAGTCCTTATTAGTGCAGATCGAATGCAGGAGGTTAGTCACGGCTCGGATAGCTCAGTGGTAACGTCTCTGACTGTGAAGCTGGGTGACACGAGATCGAATCTGCCAGGGAGCACCAGTTCCCTCAAGATTACAGGTACACCTTGCTGACGAGTGCCAAGTAGCACGGAACCCAGGTCCAGGGTTCCCTGTTGACTACCTCCAACCACCATCTAACTATCAATACTGTTAACTGAATTCACTACAGCCATGTATCAAGATGGAGTTGTTCAGAAAAATAAGGAGTCTACAAAGAACTAAAGCAACCAGTTTCTATAGGGGTATATGGAATGAGATCAGTTGAAAACAAACATTTAAATAAACATAGGCTTGATGATAACCAAAAGAGTTTTTATCAAAAACTAACTAGCTGCAAAACTGTCGAAAGTGACGAAACACTGATGAACAACTTTGTTTACACTGGACACCTATTACAAACATATATGTCTTGAATATTTCTGTTTCTGATACCACTTAATAATAAAAATACTCTTAAAATCTCGATCAAGTATATAAAATTGTACTGTCATTAATGTTAGCTTACTACAGAGATGATAGGATTTGAAGTCATATGCCATTGATTTCAAATACATCATCACTGATAAAGTTGAATAAGAGCCGTACCCTATTGTAAATTGATGGAATTCTGGAGTGTAAATCACTCTAGCTGAGAGATTTTATAGGCTTACTTTGACTCTTTGTGTAAAAGATCTTCTACTAACTTTGTTCATTTTCTTTAAGTCATTACGTTGCTTAACATTAGAAGGCTAAATATACGAATTGAATGATTAAATTTATTTGAAGCACACTTCAGCAGTATTTGTATATATGATTTGATAATGAAAGAGTTCTCATGATGAATAACAATTACTTACTTACTTACTTAGTTGTCGTTTTTAGCGGCTTAGTTTTCTACGGAATGGGGTCGTTAAACCCATTGCCAACTCTCCTACTTTATCCGGGTTTAGGACCGGCAGTAGCCTCAGGAGGGCTTCAGGCAGAGTAACACACCTTAGAGAAAACCTTAACAATTCTTGTGTAAGTTTAAAAGGTTATTAACCGACATCATTTTGTGTTGTGTGAAATCATTCTAGTATACATTGATATGATTCGGTGCTTGTAAGTCAACACCAAAAATACGTACATTTAGATTCTGGGGTGGTTAGAGCTCTTGATTTGCCGATCCGCGGCTTCATATCTGCATCAGACCCACCGTGCTCATCAATAATGCTCCTCGGATATGTAAAGCATTTTACATCCTCCAAAGCTTCTCCCTCAAATGTGGTTTGATTGATGGGTGTTGTGTTGTATCTGTGAATCTTGCTTTTCCTTTTGTGTATGTTGAGACCTACTGCTGTTGAGGCTGCTACTACACTGGTTGTCTTCTCTTGAATTTGTTGATGTGCGTGCGATAGAAGATGCAAACCATCTGTGGAGTCGAGATCGTACAGCTGCATCCTAGCTGTTTACTCTATCCCATGCTTCCCCCCAGATGATGACATCTTCATGATCCAGTCGACCACCATGAACCCCTCTGGTGCTGCTACCGGTACCGAGCCGAGATGAAGGAGGAGGGTTGGGCATGGGTTTGGCAACCCCATCCCATAGAAAACTAACTCACTCGAATAAGCTAACCAGAAACAATGAATACATCTACTTTAAATGAAAAATTACATCTGTAAGAAGTGGATTGACGGAAAGCGGTTGGTATAGTAGCTAATACTTTAAATGATTAGTCTATAAGTTGAAATTGTTTCTACACGTAATTTGAATTTCTACTGTGATATGACTTGAATTATTTTATAAAGGATCGTAATAAACCTTTGGATTAATCCATTACTTTATCACTGTTAACTTAGACGGGTTAAATATCTCGCATAATAATAGTTCTATGACATCATACATCAGACTCAATTATTCTTCAAGTCACCTAAAACGATGACACGATGGTGTCTACACTTTCATTACATTTCAATTGATGATTAATGATAGAAACTGAGCAATTTTTTAAAAATTTTTCTTGTTGTGTCCATCATGGCTTAATAAATAGTTATTAACCCTTTTAAAGTTTGAAATATCAGTTACTGTGTTCAAGTTTTAATAGACAAGTCAGTACTAGAGGTATACAACCACTGAGTTCCACAGTAGAATGAAACAGTCGTTCAATACTTCCAGGTTATCCATGATAGTCTAACTTTAATCAATTCATGAATTCATTTATTAAAAATTACTGTAATCTCCAGGATATAGTATAGGAAGAAAGAATTAGTTGGTAGAAAGTAAGATATAAAACAATTTTAATCTCATAGTTTAAGTAAAGACAAAGAGTGTAGTTACCTACACCATTTGGATCGCTCCTAAACCATATCACCCAATAAAGTGGATTATCTTCTATTCAAACCTAAAATTTATATTATTTCTAATTACAACATATATACAACTCAATATTAAACATCGAAGTACATAGGGGTATTTCAAAAGACTGTGAATTTCTACATTATTTGAAAAACAATTATTCCAGCCAATAGTATAGTTCGAATGATTCATCACGATAAACAAACCCAACTACCATGTCAAAGTAGTAACAATAGTTGGGACTAGTGTTAAATACATCATATGCGATTCCATATGTATTTCAATGGTTGAGATCATGAGTCAGTTGAAGCTGGACCACTATGGAAAACCTGCAAGCACTGGACAGACGTTTCTTTCTAGTATGGGACTCCTCAGCAGTGGGCACCCACGATCTCGCCTCCCGCGAGATTTGAACATAGGACTCATAGTCTCAATCATTGAAATTCCTATAATATACACAGACCCCTTCTGATACTAGTCAACAAATGCTCACTGGTGACTGGCTTCAAGATGTATATTCTGGAGTTCTAGTGAGAAGAAGTGACCAGTGGAGTTCAATCAGGTCTGTAGTGAGGTAGTAACTCACTGATGACAATGGTAGATGTGTCGTTGAATTTTGTTGATTATTTGAAGTTATACATTAACATCGTTGGATTCCAGTTCAGTGGTCTAGTTGTTAAGCGCTCGCGCACGAGACTGATAAGTCCTGAGTTCGAATCTGGCGAGGCGGTAGCGGGATTGTGGATGCCCATTGCTGAGGAGTCTCACAATAGAACGAAACGATCTCCCAGTGTTTCCAGGTTTTCCATGATGATCTAGCTTCAATTGACTCATGATCTCAAACATTGAAATTACTATAATACCCACAAAACCCCTTCTGACATATGTATTTACAATTTTATTATAGACATATTATAAAAATAGTAAATTTTATTCATTTCTTATACCAGAATCATTCAAAATGATTGACATTAATTAGTTAATTGATTGATTAATTATTGATTTTTTTAATTAATATTTTATCCCTTTAATTGTAATTTGTGTATTATATAATCTAAGTAACTAACTAGATATTTCACTATCATTATACTATTTACATATATCAAAAGTGACGTGTATATACATTATGTCCAAGAAATATGCACAATAAATAAAGTATTAATGATGATTGAACAGTAACTAGTCAAATGACAGATTGATTCAACCATATGGATATAAACATTAATGATGATGTAACATATTTTATGAATATCTTCTAATGATTACACTTGTTACCATTTATGAATGA